TTATTGAACTAAAATTGCCTTTCTTTATTGGAATATGCAAATTAAAATCTCCTTGACCGTGACATTTTGCTAGTTTTTGCTTTTTGTAAGCGATGTATGTCATTATGAACAAGTTGAAACAATTAAAAGGCAAGCCTCTTTATGCACAGTGATGAATGCATGCTTATATTAATTTATTTTAAAATAAAGTTTAAGTTATTGTTTGCAAAAGGAATAACCTTGAAGTCAATATAATTATCTTGGGAAAATGGGTCAATAATGATGACTGCTGCATGCTTATATTAATTTATTTTAAATTAAAGTTGAAGTTACTGTTTACAAAAGGAATTTACGTTGAAGTCAATAATAATTATCTTGTTATTCCGCCTATTACCTTTTAATTGTTGGAGCTACATGCATGTTTTTTCTACGTTGCAAATGATAGAACTATCCCTAAAAAGTCTGTCCAAGAACAGGTAAGCCAGACTCTCTATTAATACCAAAATCCTAAAGACAGAGACATATCTCAATTCTCATCCCTCGTTGTAATTAGAAAACAAAAATGTCCTCTTCTTGTGTCTGCTGGCTTCTCCTCCTTCTCCTTCTCCTCCCAGTTTTGTTCAGTCCTTGTTGGGCCAACTCTATCACCCTCTCCCTCACCACCCAATCCCATCACCACTCTCAAAACAGCAGCCGGCTCAGCCTCATGGCCTACGCGTCCATTACAAGGGCCCGACACCTAAAGAAGTGCACCTCCGCCAGTACTCCCCTCTTCCCCGTCGATGGCGAATACTCCACCACCCTCGAATTTGGAACACCGCCGCAGCGCCTGGGCTTCATCATGGACACCGGAAGTAGCCTCAACTGGTTCCCATGCGGGGCCAACTACAAGTGCACCTTTTGCGGTAACGCCACCAACATCCGCACCTTCAACCCAAAATTATCATCGTCGTCAAAAAACGCCAGCTGCAGCTCCCCCCAAGTGAAACGAATCATTCCCGATTTTCCACTCTGCAAGTCCTGTTGGCAACATCCCACCTCCAAATGCTCCAAACAATACTTACACTACAGACAACCCTACGGGTCCGGAATCACGACCGGGCAATTTATGTTAGAGTCTTTAACCCTCTCGGCAGCTGGGAAAAATAATATTGTGCCCGACCTTTTTGTAGGGTGCTCCAATTCCTCGGACCATTTGACACCTTACGGAATGGCAGGGTTCGGGCGCGGCCGCGAGTCCCTGCCGTCGCAGTTGGGGCTCAAAAGTTTCTCCTACTGCCCTGTATCTCACCGATATGATGACGACAAGAAAATCCACAGTGATTTGGTCCTTAACTGGGGCTTGGGGGATGGAGGGTATAATGTGAATGTGATCAACTACACACCCTTTGCCCAGAACCCAAATATATCACCTGAATTCCTAGAATACTATTACGTCAACCTACTCGAGATTCACGTCGGTTCTGTCAAAATCAGCATTCCGAATAAATACTTGAAGCCAAATGACAACGGCTATGGCGGCACGATCGTAGATTCCGGCACCACCTTTACTATCATGGAGAAAGTGTTGTTTGATCCAGTCA